CGGGATCCACTGGTGAGCAGCTCTGGCGGGATACTCGGCGGGATCCACTGGCGAACTGCTCTGGCGGGATACTGGGTGGGGGCGTGGTGTAGAAGCATCGCAAACGCGGATTCCAACATAAAATCTAACAACCCCTTCCTGTCGGGTGGGGAACAAGCAAACATTCAAACAAAGAAAGAATGAAAGACATACAGAAAGAGATACGGAAATGCAGAACGAAAGAAAGAAAGACAAGAACATAAAGAAAGAAAGAGGCAAGAAAGACGCATCCAGAACTACAAGAACACAAACACAAACAATCAAACAAAGAAACAATCAAACAAAGAAGCACAACAACATTACACAACGACAAACCAACAAACAACAACAAACACACCAACCAACCAATCAACCAACCAACCAACCAACCAACCGACCGACCGACCGACCGACCGGCCGACCGGCCCGCCAACGAATCAACCAGCCAGCCAGCCAGCCAACCAACACACCAACCAACCAACCAACCAACAAACCAAGCAAACAAACCAAACCAACCAACCAACCCACCAACCAACCAAGCAACGAAGCAACTAAGCAACCAAGCAACCAAGCAACCAAGCAACCAAGCAACCAACCACGCAGTCAACCCACTCAGCCACACCCAACCCAAGACAACCCAACCAACAAGCGTCCCAGCAAAGCAAGCAAGCAAGCAAGCAAGCAGGCAAGCAGGTAGGCAAGCAAGCAGGCAGGCAAGTAGGCAAGCAAGCAGGCAAGCGAGCAAGCAGGCAAGCAAGCAAGCAGGCAGGCAGGCAAGCAAGCAAAAGCGCAAACGAAGCAAATAATCCTTCTTGACTGGTGCGAAACGATGTGAAGCATTCGATTTGCATGATGTGTAACTTTGTTGGGTGTGAACCTCAATTAGGAACCCTTTGGTGGACATGTTGTAGCCGATGTGGATTCATGTCCGCCAACCACTTATGAGGTGGTTCGCTAATAAGTCAATTTCATTTGTCCTTCAACCGAGCTACTGATTTACTTCCCCAGCTGGCCCGGCGAAAAAACATTAGCGTACTTCCCTTCCCCGATTGAAGCTCCCCAGTCCCACAAGCGACAAACTTCCGCACCTTCCCTGGGACTTGATGAGCCAATTTTGGTCAAAGATGAGCTTGGCAATGTCCATCGCGCGAGCCTCCAGGGAATCCGGGGCACGCATTGCTGCAAAATCGCGAGGCGTTCTGTGCCCAAAAAACCCAGCTGCTGGAAACTCGGAGGTGAAACCATTGGACGCCTTTTTGTTGCCACGCAAGTTTGCACTTGATCTAGCTTGATCTGACAAGAACAGATCCACGAATTCTGCTTCAGCTACCTTAAGGCTTAGTTTTTGGGTTGGTTTCCTCCCGGCGGTTCAATCCAAGCTGAATTCCAGGGGAACCGAAAAGAAGCGCCGCTGATTCTGGGAGCTGATGGGATCGAACCTTCGGAAAGCGTGCAACGTGAGCCCAACGTTGTGGCCATTTCTTTCGGCGATCCCGAGCCACTTCGCGATTCGGAAAGTTCATTTCGATGCCAGTTCGGTACCTTCTCAAATGGGAGATTCGGAAAAAAACCCTAGCGGATGAGAGATTTCGGTTGGCAGGGGTAGGGGCTGTTTCTGTTCGGGCGGAAGTTCGAATGATTCGGTTAACATCCCTGTCCAAGTTTGGGGAGGCTTCTGCAACTTGGCCGAAGTGTAGTTGCTCAGATACGTGACAGTCGTGGGAAGTAATCTTTGCTCCCCAAACCTGGATCGCCTGGCCAAAAAAAAAAGAAGTCACCGAAAACCTGGAAATCAGGAAAGCCCCCAATGTACTGCACATTCATCGTGCCAAAGCTCATTGGAACCCGAGTTATGGGGAACCGCCTCACAAGTGGTTGGTGGCGGTGGATATGACTCCCGACCTAAATAAAGGATGTTCATTTCGGATTCCCCAACAAGAAACTGCTTGATCAAATTTGCAAATTTGCAAATTTGCTCCCAACGGCATTTCAATCCACTCGCTTCCCGAACCCATGGTCGGGTGAACTGCTTTCAGCTCAAACATGCGGGCTGGTGCGTTCAGAGCTTCTTCGTGAACTCATGCAGCCGCCCTAAAAGCTCAGCAACTGCTGGTTGAATACTTGAGAGCATCATGAGGCACTGTCTTTGTTGCCCGAAAAGAGGACAAATATGTGCTTGTTTTGCCGGCAGTTCGGGGTTGGGGGGGGGACAAAATGCAGAAAACTAATGAACCTCAATGCAAATGGCATAGGGGGGAGCCCCTTTGGAATCACAGCAAGTGCATCCATGTTGGGGTGTCTTGTTTTAGGGGGCCTGCCAAAATGATGGATTTCCTTCTGGCTTCCCTTTCAAACCAAACAGGGGCACTCGAAACAAGACAGCCCCACAAAAGCCAACCTTTGCCCTAACCGGGCTGCCCTCAGATCCCCTAAAAGAAGTGACTCACTTTTAGCGGATTCACTTTGGGAAAACCACCACCACACCACTAAAAGGATCTAAAAAGCGGGACCAGATGGGCTTCGCCAAGAGGCTGGTCCAAGCCCTAGCAACACCCAGCCCTGTCAGTCCCCACAGTCCGCTCCGAGGCCTGACCACGCAGGCGCAAGCACCCCATGAGGAACTCCTCGATTTCCACCGCGCCGCCTGGAGATTTCTGTCCACTCGGCCAAAGAAAGTCATAGCCCTTCCACTAACATGACGCACCTGTGGGGAGGCATGGAAGATCATTTTTGTTCTTGCAGGGCTGTGGGAAATGGAATCCACGAATCTGCGATACAACAAAAAGGGTCTCCCAAAGACTACCACCCCCATTTAAACAGGGGAGACCCTTGTATCACAGAAGTGGGGATAAACCCCTTGATCCCACAACCCTGTCTTGGAGGGATGTGAGGTGTCATGTTAGCAGGAGAGAGGGAAATCTCTTGCTTGGTAGTTGACCCCTCTTTGAGAGAATCCGAGCAGGCCGTGCTAACATGTTACAAAGAGCCAGCTTCCCTATAGCCAGCTTCCCTAGCCTCCGATTTTTGCTCCTGAGGTGAAGGAAGACTCCCTAGGCAAAAAGACGCTCTGCAACAAAAAGGTTTCGTCCCTTGCTTGGTTGTGGACCCCTCAAAGAGTTTAGCTGTTGGTCCAATGGGAAATCAAAATCCCACAAAAGGGAAGTCACAAATCCTGTCCGATCAAATGGCCATCAAGGTTTTCCTGTCACAAGGACTTCCGTGGTACTGCAACTAAGTGAGCTAGCTCAGCTCCAAGAACGCAAGCGCCCGCGCGGGGTCCTTAAGCACTTGTGCACCTGCGCGCGACCCTTGAACTAGTGTGCAAAAGAAAAACGAACCGGCGGGAAAATGCGAGAGTTTGGGACTAGAAGCAGGCCCTTAAGCACCTGGCCCTGCGCGTGACGCGCGCAAACCACTTCGCGCGCGCCGGACGGAGGCGGCCCAGCGAGTGCAGAGTCGGGAGCCGATGGCACGGGCGCTGTTCCGGATTTTTTTTTTTTCCGCGGCAGCGAGGTCTACGGCCTGGGCACCGGCCAGTCAATCAGCGGCTGTCGACTAGCACTCACGATTTGGGGTTGCAGTGCGTTCAGCGCTCTGATTCGATGGGAGTTTTGCGTGGCAAGTTCAGCACTTTCGCAAGGTCGGTTGCAGATTGGGTGGCAGGCACCGACCTTGCCTTGCTTCCGTGCATGACACGCGTGCTGGTTCGGGACGCGCTTTCGTGTCGGGCAGGGTCGACGCGGACAGCCACACGAATGCAAGAAGTTCGGCAAAAAGGCGTGTCGCCTCGAAGAAAGCCAGAAAGAGAGAGAGAGAGAGAGAGAGAGAGAGACCGAAAGACAGCAAAAGAGAAAGAGAGAAAGGGAGAGAGAGACAGAGAGAGGGAGAGCGAGAGGGAGACCGAGAGAGAGAGAGAGACAGATAAACAGAAAGAGGAGGTGAGAGTGAAAAAGAGATAAAGAGAAGGAGACAGAGAGGGATAAGAAGAAGCAGAAAAAGAGAGAGAGAGAGAGAGAGAGAGAGAGAGAGAGAGAGAGGAGAGTGGAAAAGCGGGAGCGTAATAATATTTCATCTATCGCGTTCCCCTTTTCGAAACTTCCGCCCGGCTCCGGGACTTGCTAAAAATATAATCGAACAATCCTGACGTACCCGAAGCTTGGTTGACGTTGGAAGGGCAGCAAAAAATTGAATTTTAGCAGTTAAGTGGGGATTTCCCACTAAACCACAATAAGCAAAAATGTAAAATGTTTCCCAACAACAACCATGGAACACGGCAAATCGGGAGGCTGCATTTCATTCTTCCCCGAGTTGATCGAAAGAACTTTTCAACCCCAGGCTTCCTCTTGCCCCCGCCCGATCATTACTTGGGTCGTGAAGCTCTCTACCATTTATCGGGTTGATTCCTTTTCCATTCTTTTCAACCATCGTTCTTTAACCAGCTATTTTGCCTGGGTTTTTGGAGGTTTTCTAGAAGGATCCCTGGAAAGAATGAAGAAGGCACCCCTAGAACTCACAAGAAAAACAATAAACGGACAACAAATGTTTTCAAGCCCCGGATCTCCCAACTCTCCATCCCATCCGTGTCCAAACAAAACTCCGTTGCTTTCTGCTCCCCTGCTAAAAGCACTTCACTTTTAGTGGTTTAGTACGGAAAACACCTTAGCCCTAACAAAAAGTTGTTCAGTCCTAACAGCCGTTGGCAAAATGCACCAAAGAAAACAACACGGATCGAGCTCACAGCTCGCTTTCCAACCGGACATCTCACAACTCGCGAGGTCCTCCAGACTTGAGCGGTTAGAATACGTTAGTACCACTTTTTTTTCTTCTGTCGGTACGTCTATTTTAGTAGGCGAAAACCCAACCCCAACTTTAAAAAGTTGGGTTAAGTTGGCACCAGTTTTTTGTTTTTTCTGTACGCCTAAATAGACGAACACCCAACCCCAACCAAAAAATTGGGTGAGAGGTCGGGCACCCCGGAACACCTAGTCACTCAGACGCATGCCTCCATCCATGTCCAAAAGCTTGAAGAAGCTCCAAGCGTCGGAGACGTCCAAGCCCAGACTTTCGAAATACTCACTCACCGCCGGGGTATCGAACTTCTCCTGGCGCCCAGCTCTGTTTTTCTCCCGCCGGTCCGTTTCCGGCGCTGTCTGTGATTTTTTTGTTTGTCCTTTCTCTTGTTTTCTGTTTGTTTGTTGTTTCTTGGTTCTCTCATTTTTCTTTTTTTTTTTTGGGGGGGGGTGCCAATCGTGGTGTTCAAATTTGTGGTGTTTTGTCAAGCCGCACAAAAAGGGAAACATAAGGTATCATAAGGGAGTGTCTTTTTCTTGGGGGATCCAAATTGGTGATGTTTTTGGCTTTCCTTTGACCATGCGCCGGCTACACCATCTATTCCCTCCTTGCAAGCAACCCTGGAAATCAAAGGTTAACCTTTTGGGGCCATGACTTTCTTTGTGAACCAAAAAGAGTTGAAACTACAAGGTCAAAAGGTTGATCTTGTGCTTCAGGCGATATTTGTTGGGCTGACTAGTGCTGTAACCCACAAAGGAGCCCCACCCGGAAAAGAGCTTATTGGGCTGCATATGGGGGCTGATCAAAAGGTCCTTGGGACGACCAAAGGTTGGGAAACTGATATTTTCCCACATGGGAAAGGTTGCGCATGGTCTTTTGGGGGCCAGGAATGTTGATCAACCCCTACGTGAATCTTCAGGGCAAAATATCTTTAACGGATTCCTTAACCCTTGTTTTGCGCTTGCCCACGATGCTTTGGTCACCTGCTCACGCTTACCATTCCAAGCCACGAATAGGAGAAGAAATATGTGCCTTAGGCCTAACTTTCAAGGCATCCCACTCAAAGGAAGAAGTTTTTAGGTTCTTAGACAAGAAGGGCTCACTTACCTTTCGCAACCAGGGGCTGACGGTAACCACTGAACAATTGCAAACGCACCGTCCCACTCGCGTTTCTCAGTTCAGTATTGAATCTACTCGCTCTGACCTCCCGTCTCCATCTGGGTGAATTATAATATTTCACCAGCCTGAAACAAGGTGGTGGTTTTTGGGGGGCATTCCCCACATAAACCACCATTTGGGGTGAATTCGGCCGTGTGAGGTCGTGAAACAATTCACCCAGATCCATCCTTTGTCTCAGATTGGCTAAGAGTGTCTCGCTTTCGATTCCAAGTCCGGGAGATCGGACCTACAATTCTTTCCGAGATCACAGGGGCGTATGCCTTTTGAGGATCCCCGATTTGGAGCTGCTTTAAGGCGAGCTCACGCTCCCTTTGTTGGGGTGGTCCATATAAGTGTGTTTTTTGGAGGGTATCCGTTTTGGGATTGGTTTAGAGGAAAACAGACCCATGTCAAAAAACCATCCCATCTACGACGCTAAGGGCAGTTCATAAAAGGAAGCCAAAGGTAAACCACCTGTTTTTTGGGGGGTCCCCTATTGTAAGACACACCCATATGGGTGTTTCTTAATAAAATAGGGAAGCCTCCAAAATTTGGCGGTCCAGTGGTTTCCTTCAAACAAACAGGCGCCCCTCGACAAAACACCCCTTCAAAGCCACCCTAAAAAGAGGTTACCCTCCCACCAGCTAACATGGTAATGCGCAGACCCCTGTAGAAAGACACTACTTTCCTCTTGGAAAGGGCCTTTTTGCACTTCCATGTTAGTTGGTGGGAGGGTACCTCAAAAAAGAAAAGATAGATTCTTTTCGGCTCCTCGAGCATGTCGAAAGTGATGAGCCCAGTGTCATCCGCCCCAAGCTTGCTGAAGAGCGCTTTCACCTTGTCCATATGCTGTGCCTCACCCGGCTTCCGAATCCGACGAACTCGGTGAGTTAAAAGACCCCCAGGTCAACATGGCTGCTTCGGTTTTTTTTGGGGGATACCCTTCCACAAACATAGCATCTGTGGGAGTGTATTTGGAAGGTCAATGACCTTTTCAATGGACCCTCTGTCAGGTGCCATGTTGGTGCGAGGGAGTGTACCCCTTTTTTGTTGATAAAGGGACACCAAAAAGGAATATCGAAACCCTGTTGCAAAAAATGTGTTGCGACTTCAGGAGGCGTGAACGAAGCTAGCAGCTGCTGCATGAGGCCCATAAAAGGTTCAAGCCGCTGGCTGCGGGGCGGGTCTAAAAAATTGATTATTGCAATCAGTTTAGCACAAACAATTGATAAAGTCATGTAAAATCCGTATTGCGGCATTTCAGCTCGTACCATGCTTATGCAAGGAGACACGTTAGCTAGCTTAAGCTAGCTTTCGTGAAACGCCACACCCATATTATTGATTATTGAACCTGGAAAACCACAAATGTTCATAGAGAAATTGGTTTAGAAACGCATTAAGCCAAATCCAGGGAGGTTTACTACCCATGCAAAGGCAACCTGAGGCGGCCAACTAGAAACCCAACGGAAAACGCCAAGGTCACTCGGTAAAAGCACAGGCTTCGAATCGTCCGAGGCCATTTGAGATTGTCTTTTTTGGGGCGCCCCCATATTTGGTGGTTGAAAAGAACACCCGAAAGCAAAACTACCATTGTGGGGGTCTAAAAGAACACCCCCATTTGTCCTTGGTGGATCTATCTTTTGGTCTTTGACTTAAGACATGGAACCCGAACGCCAAAAAACTCCTCTCTCTCTCAGGAAAGGCCCCTCCGAACAAACGTTTGGCCTCGACTCGGGGCTGTTCCCTCATCTTATTGGAAGGCCCACGAAATGCGAGCGATGCTAAAATACGCCTTGTACCGTGCTGACCACACGATCTGCGCATATGATGCGCTATGGAACAAAAACCTGCTGAGGGTACCAAAGCGTTGCGGCAAGCACATAGCCAATGCGGATCAAGACTTGCTGCTGGCTGCTGGATGCTCAAGCTCCGAAAACAAGAACATGCAAAACTGTTCTAGCAATCTTTCCCGATCCTTGGACAGAGACCTGACAAAGGGATTCGCGAGGCAAACGTGAGGTGTTTCCTTCTTTTTGTTTATTTGTTCCTCTTCAATTATTCAACACAGCTCGGTTGTTTTCTGCTCCCCTGCTAAAAGTTCTTAACTTTTGGTGGTTTAATACGGAAAACCCCATCAGTTTGCAAAAAGTGATTCAGTCCTAACATCCCTTGGCAAAATGCACCAAAGACACCCTTTTGGCCATGCCAGTGGTGAAGACACGGGATAGCGATCGTGTTGATGGGGGTGACAAAAACCATTTTGCACCGGTTGGGATTGGGGGTTCTTCCATGGCGCTTCACACCCCCGGTGCAGGATTCGTCCACGTGTATGATCCCATTCAACTAGGACTTGCTAGGCCCATGTCTGGATGAATCCCTGATGACCAGTTGTCCAAATCCTTGCAGGGTTTCCGGCTAGCCTGAAACAATGGTGGGCGCACATGATTGGCGCAAGCAGGGTTTCCATGTGGTAGAACACCATGCGGATGTGACCCTTGACTTTCTTTGAGCATCACCGACATGCGGATTATGTCACCAATCAATTCCATAGATCTCTCGAGAGGGGGAGATCATTCTTGAATAAGACTAGGGTAATCCCTTCACAAGGCCTGATTAAGCGGTGAATAAGGCCATAACCCCCCCTTAGACGTCCATGACAATTTGAAGGGATGCCCCATGGCAGTTTCAAGACGTGTGCTTGATGGCGAAACTTCCATGTGCTTAAGACCCCCTGGAAAAATATTCCCTGGTGATAAATTCCCTTTAAATCCAACAGGGGAAAATAACAACAACAAATTTTAAGCAAATGGAAGCAACGCTGTTACCCCAAAAAACAACAAACCAAACTTACTTGCGGCAAGTGTCTTTGTTTTCCAGGATCGACTGCACCATGGCGGCATGGTCTTTCTGGGCGTTCTCAATGGCGGACTGGCAGAACACACCTGAAGACCAGTGGCTTTGGTAGTAGCAGTAGCAAAAGATGTAGCAGTAGCAGTACTGGTAGGAGCTGTAGTAGTGGTGGTGGTAGCAGCAGCAGCAGTGGCAAAAGCAGCAAGAGTAGCAGTGGCAAATGCAGTAGTAGTCGTAGTAGTAGTAGTAGCAGTAGGCGTCGTCGTCACCGTCATAGTAGCAGCAGCAGTCGCAGTATTAGTAACAGTGGCAGAAGCAGTGGCAGAATCAGCAGAAGCAAGAGTAGCAGTACTAGTAGCAGTAGTAGCAGTAGCAGGTAGTGGTAGTAGTAGTAGCAGTAGCAGTAGCAGCAGCAGTTGCAGCCGCAGCAGTAGTACTGGTAGCAGTAGTAGTAGTAGTAGTAGTAGTAGTAGTAGTAGTGGCAGTAGTGGCAAGACCGCATAGCTTCTCAAAATCCAGTCTCACAACTCGATATTGGCAATGCCAGCCCATTCTAATTCTCCCAGGTTCTAAACGGTCTCAATGAAATCACAATGCACGCACAATGGCTGGAGACATGAGCATGTTGGCTGACTCGCGTTCTCTCTTTCATGCTTTGATAAACACTGGGGCGATAGTCTTTCGAGTGTTCCTAAACCTTCCAAATTGGCAGTTCTTTGTCAGGCCGACGTGAGTTGTGTGAAAACTCTGCCCGAACTCCGCTGGGCCTGTGACAACGTTGAGGACCGCGAAATACCTCAGTGCTTCGTGGGTCCCTTGCTGAAAGTTCAACAAAAGGCTATGGCACCAATCCAAATTTTAAAAGACTCAAACCCAAAGGGTAGGGCTGGGAATGGCCAAGACTCGTAAATGATATATAAAACAGGTAGAAAAAGGCCCACAGCATGTCGATGGCGATCAAAGGCCGCAATATCGCTTCCCAACTGACTCCACCAGCAATACTCATAAAAAGGCTGAGCATGGTGTTTGGCAAAGAGCCAAAGTAGCGTGCGCTTGCAAGCTGCTCGGCTTCATTCATGCGATGCTGCGCTCCGTCGTGGTCCAGGTGGTAGTCATGCACAATTTGTGTAAACAGAACCGCGAAGACGTACACAATGAGCACCAGCAGCGCCAACGCCCAAAAGAGCGCTTTGAGAGTGTGAAAAATGGAAGTGACCAAGGTTCGCAAGGCGATGACGAATCGAAAAATCCGCACTAACCGCGCAGTCTTGATGATCCGCGTGATGCGAATGACCCTGAACACCTTAAAGCCAGACAT